ACTCTCCTAGTGATTGAAATGCCCCACCGTTAGCTCCAGCCCGATTGCTGATGAACTGGCAACGAGAGATTGTGAAGTCCGATTCGTGTGCGCATACCGCGCCGCCGTATCCATTGTCTTCACCGCTCGTGCTTCTTGCCTTATTGCCCCTGAAAACACAGCTCTCAATTACCAACGTAGCCCCGGAAGTGTAGATAGCTCCCCCTCCGCTGCTCCCGCTGTTCAGCAGATTCCTGAACTCCACATTCTTGACCGTTAGATTGAACTCTGACATGCTAATGCCGCTGTATTTCCCTCTACCGTCGATGACAGGTCGTTTCGTCCCGATCCCGACGATGGTTAGCGATCTGCTAAGCTCCGGCAGACCGCTCGTGAGAATAACATCTCCAGTCACCTCAATGCGACTCACGCCGGGATCCGTGTAAGCCGTCAGAAAGTCTGCGACGCCATAGCCATGAGATCCTGGAAGAAAAGGCAACGCTGCCACCAAAGCCGTCACAGTCGTCAGCACAATCGCAGCCATGTTCATGGCCGTTGGTTGCGCTACACATGGACGACGACGAAGTGCCAGCCAACTGTAACGGCGTCCCACCGCCATAGCCATTGCCAACTTCAGCTTGCACCGTCTCATTTCTCTCTCTCTCTCTCTCTCTCTCTCTCTCTCTCTCTCTCTCTCTCTCTCTCTCTCTCTCCCCCCTTCTCTGTGTGTGTGTGTGTGTGTGTGTGTGTGTGTGTGTGTGTGTCTGTGCCCACACTAGAACGGTCGTTCGCCGGACAGATAGTGAGAAGGAGCGCGTTCCTCCCTCGCTTGTCCACTGCTTTACCGCGAGACTTTGACTGCGATCGTCAGAATCTAGGCTCACGGTACCACGGCTATGTGGAGATTGAACATAAGCCGCCGGCTATATATTTGGGTGCAAGGGTGCAAGGTAGTCTGTGGTCTGTGGGTGTATGAGACTGTGCAAGCCGCTCACAAGGGGAGTGGTATCAACGTCTAGGCTGAGCCATCCAGGATCGGCGTGCACACACATCAGGAGTCTCTCTGTGACCTATGGACGTAGTTGCCGCTCGGGCTGTAATTGCGGCCAGATTGCAATTTTGAGTAACACCCTTAGTGGGAAATGAGTCTTGCGGGACCTGGCATGGAGTCGCGAGCATTCCCGCATGCTGTCCCCTAGGCGTAATTACCGTCAGAAAGTCAATACACCCCCCCAAGGCTCAGGGTACAGCCTGCATAGCTCCCCTTCAAGGTCACAACCTTGTAGTTAACCCCCTTTCTCTTTGTTTTCACGTGTCATCCGTGCGCAGGGGCCATGCGAATCTTCTCTGTATCGTTCCACTTTCAACGCATATCACGACGGACAGGTCACGACTTTGTACCATTTCTCGATTTGTCCGTCTTCTCTCATACGTTCCAATTCTTGCGGATGTCGTGGAGGACAAGCTGACGATTTAAAAAAGGGTGAAGTATGTTTATGTCACATGGGAGTTTGTAATGGGCACTTAAAACAGCCTTCGGCGTCTGTGGGAGGGCCTGAGTTCGAAAAGGCGTTCGTAACTCACGGGTCAGGGCCTGAGTTCGAAAAGGCAGTTGTGTTTCTTTTTTTTTTTTCTTTTTTTTTTTTTTTCG